CGGGGTACCCAAGGCAGGGCTGGGAAAAGCCCCACCCCGCCCCTCCCCTGAGCTTTCTGGCAGCAGCCAGGGTGAGCGGGGGCTCTGCTGCGGTTCCCCTGCCAGCGATCCTCGTGCGGGTTATTCTTTCCTTTTAGAATGGAGTATTATCGATATATTTCTGTTATTGGCTTAAAGATCACTCACCTGCAGTTTAATCACACTTTTCTTTACCCTTGGCAGAGATTGCCCACTTGAGGTCCCGTGATTCAAAAACTGCCGCCCTTTGATGCGCCGTTTCACCCAACTGACGGCTGCAAACAGGAACACTGAGAGTTTCAGGAGCACGTAGATAATGTGCCTGTTTGCCCACTTCACTCTTGCCTTCCCGACCCTTCATTTTACTTTCCCACCTTTCATTTAAATGTGCGCTCGGGGTGTGGCTGCGGTTGCGAGAGGCGCTTCAGCTTCTTTTTCCTCCCTCCCTCCTATCCTGATCCCTGTGCTGCCACTAGAGGAAAAATATTTGTTCACCAGAACCACCCAAGCGTTGGGATGTAAGCTTGAATATCCTGTTAATATAACTACTTGGCACAAGGATACAGCGAGATGTCTGGAGAGGCAGAAGCTAACCCTTAAAATCGCAGGACAAGCCTTTTAAAGGGATGGAAAGCATATAGATAAGAGAACCAGTTCACCTGGAATCTGTGCATAAAAAGAAAGGCTGCTGCACAACAGACTGCTGGCTTTCTAGCAGAAGCAAAGACTTCTCTGCTAGCTAAGTGATTCAGCCGGGAAGATCTGGTTCCCCTTCCCGCCCGCCCAACCGATGGTAGGAAAGGTGTTCCCAAACTTTTTCACACCCTGAATGGACTGGGAAATGAATCTCCCCACCCTTCTGATCTGTAAAATAATACCACAATAATATTTTTTCCAATAATTTCATTAAAAGTTTTAGATAGAACAAGAAAAGAATACAAGAAAAAGAAAAAGATGTCAGAAAATGAAACAAAACCAAAAACCCCTCCCCCTAAAAAAGTGCCTTCCCACTCTTATCATGACAACTATAAGCAACTCTACAATCCCTTCACCTCCTCTCACTTAACCAATGTAAAACTCTTCATCCCTTAATCCATCTCTTACCAATAAGCAAATCAAATGAGCAACCTCTTCTCCCATCCGATCCTCAGCAAAAAGTCCAAACAGCGCTCCAAAATATTAACGATAGCTAACCTATATACAGTTCAACATTCCACATCTCCACTCTTAGCTAAAACAAAATCTCATTTAAAAGGCATAAAATGGTCCCAGTATGCCAATAACAACAAAATAAAGGTTTAAGGTAACAAAGAGACCATTTCTTCTTTGCAATACACAACATTTTGCCTTAAATTTCTCATTCAAGATAAATATTCCACATCTCAACTCTAAACTAGAAGCAAATCCATAAAAAACTAAACTTTAGCATAACAAAGAGAAATAGTTTCTCCTTTTTAAAAAAAAACACTCCCTTACCTTAAGTAAAAACAATTACAAAGCCAGTCTGAGTACTATGAAATTAAGATACACAAAATAACAATAAAGGAAAGAACTTAAACACAAGAACTTAAGTATAAACAAATCCAGTGTACCGCATTTTTTTCCTAGTTAAGATATCTGCAAATCCAAAAAGAATCAGCCAGAATAATGTGTCCCGTTTTACCCCTGGTCAAATAAACCAGTTTTATATTCCTTTTTCCTTCTACACAGAACAATCTTTCTCTGTAATCCATTCAAATGGTAGTTGACCTTTGTTGGACCTTTCTTCAGTACTTTAAACAATCTCTCTTGTGACTCCAATAAAAAGAAATTATTCCAATTGCTCTCTGGGATTGTCATTTTTATTTCCTTCTTAATTTTCAAATTCTCATCCAGTATTTTATGTCGTTATTCAGATTCTTCTTTAAAAGCAATTTCAGAGTCATAATACTGAAGTCCAATTTCCAACGCTTTTGGAGCTCTTAGTTCACTTAAAACTTTCTATAGCCAAAACCTTGTATTGCTTTTTGCTGTTTATTTTAAGTTCGTAAATTTTATAAAAATAAATTTAATACTTTTCTATTGATTGAAGGCACTCACCAGCTATTTACAGCCTTGTCACTTTGCAGGTGTCTAACTTCGCAAGGGAAGCGTACATCCTTAGGGTCCTTTTAAAACAAGGCTCTGTTTGCGGCTGGAGCAATTATGGAGTCTCCTGATTCCCCCCCCCCCCCCCCCACACCTGAGTTTGTTGTCTTGCAGTTTCTCCATGAGAAAGAGGAACAATCAAAAGGAGAAACAGCTTGGGC